CCCTATGATAAGCCCGCTGTTTACTTGATACTTCTCCGAACCTGTACAAACGACACTCACTCCAACCTATGTTGTCAAACCTGTATTACTGCATTTCTTTGGTAATCTGTGCGGACTTTGATGTATCATACATAGTGACAATGTATACCTAACGTTATCGTTTATATCCGTAAATTGAATGCCGTATGGCGACATATATTTGCTTACACCCACGTCATTTCGACTCTGGTGGACAGCTGTTTCATTGTCAATCATATCAAATGTCCTTATTTGTATACTAAATGGAATAGCCAAATCCGTTCAAGGTCAACTTTGCCTGAGTGAAATCGTTTTTGTTTGCTGTATGTTGAAGTCCCGGGTGTGACTTTGACGTTGAAAAAAGAAATGACAACGCTGTAACTTCGATTTGTCAGGCATAGGACTGAATTTTGAATTAATATATCATATCCATTCTATTTGATATAAACAACAGTATTTAGTTCTGTTTTTAATTAAGATTTAATGCTATGTCAGTGGCACAAAATGAATGTCTCACCGGTGTATATGTGTTCAGGGCGATATCACACACAGTTAACATAAACTGAAATGTATGGCAAAAAATCGTATTTAAAATGCATCATGCAATTCTGTTTGAATTAAAGCGTTATGCATGTCACATAAAATAATGAACAAAACGTTTTTTTCTAGCTTTTTATCGTGAGATCAAAGCACAATTGTCATCTAAACAATCCGAAAGCTAATAATTTTTACCTTTTACGACAAGATTTGAAACTTCTTGGGGTAAATTATGTGTGAAATTGTCCACGCTTGTCCCACTAGAAAGATTTACGAAGACAGGACATCATAAATAGTTTGTCAAAACAAATTTAACGTTTTGTTACTATAATTAGAACATTTCAAAGTTATTAGTCCTACTAGGTGTTTACATTAGACAGTTTAATGACATTTCGAACATTCGCACTTAAGCAACTCTACGTATTGTACTTTTATTCTTCTGAAGATACTAAATTTAAGATAGAGGTAAATCTACTATAAACTTTCGTTTGTACAGCGAACTAACCTTACCGGGATGCCTAGTCAAATGATGTAGACATGGTATTTAAATAACATGCAATACATGTGTTTTAGAGAGAAAAAAATAATAAACTCGGCATAGATACCAGGATTGAAAAAAAACTGCCAGACGCTGGTTACGTCTACTAAAGACTCATAAATGACGTTCGAATAAAAAAGGTTTAAAATGACAAAAGCTTCAAGGTGATCTATAATTGCTTTCAACAAGATCATTCTAGCTATAGTGGATAGTTGTCTCCATGACAATCACACCACATCTCCACATTTTTAGAAGAAAGTTAATAACCATTGAATATTATTTTCAACTACATGCTACTTTCTTAGCTAGTTCAAAATAACTCAAGGATCTGAAAATCAGCATTCAGGCTAGCACATCGGTGGCAATTTTGATGAAGGTCCGTTTTCTTCAGACAGATACGTCACTGAACAGTAGGTTTCAAGGCTTGCTGTACTTATGCTAAAAGTTTTGTCTGAAAAATAGGCATAATTACACTTAGACTTTTGATTGGATTTTCTGTTTAAGCCATTGTGGCGTTAATGCTTGCAAAAGTGTTATGTTTTCCTTTCTACTGTTTAGGCCACGAGCAAACCGATTGAATTTGATGCAGAAGCACGCCTTCTAATTTTGCTACTCCATCAGTCAAAATTGATATTAAACGTTTAATGCTGTTTATCTTTATGTTCTCAAACATTTAGTAGTTTTAGCTTACCAAACTTTTGGTTTAAAGCGTATTAGTCTCAACAAAGACACCTAGTTTATATTTTGTCACACCATACGCGCGATTTTTCGACGGAATATTAATCAGTGGTATTCGAATAAAACAGTGGGAAAGCCAAATAAAACACATTACATATATAGAAGCTTAATATTTCCTTAACGATAGAACGTGATTAAAACGTTCAGCAGATTTTACAGAGTTATCTCCCTGTAGTGTTATGTACCACCTCAATGTAGAAAACCCTTAGTGTTTTGAGTAATGAAAAATAATACCAAAAATGAAGATAACAATGATATTTTATGTCAAAACAAAGTTTTGGTTACTGGACAGCTGCTACCCTTGAGACAAAACGTTCACCAGCAATGGCAACGAGCCAGTTGTTTTAAAAACTCACCAAAGACATCAAGCGTATAATTTGTTTTACCCCAGACGATATTCAAAAGTTGGAAGCGCAAATCAAACACGAAACTGAAAAGTATTCCAAGGCTAAAAGTTCAGAAATGCTTGCTTATCTATATGTTTCATTCACCCAACAGCAAGTACTAACGTTCTGGTTTGATTTATAACTACATGTATATATATATATATTATTTTTATGTTAAGTACTATTAATACCTTTAAATAATGTCGTTGTACTAAAACTAAGGCAACGCCCTCAGGCAAAGTTGCTGTTCAATTTCGGCTCTTCATTTTGTTTTATATTTTGTACTTTTAAATCTTTGTGTCACGAGAACACCTGATTAAGGGAATATACAAATCATGGACATGAGAACGGAAATATTATCATACTTTTTAGAACCACTGGATAGGTACCGTCAATACTGGAAAAACAGTCCCCGAAACTCACAGTCATTGCCTTGGAACTGTGATGATTATAAATATACATTTCTAGTTCATAAATAATGTAATTGTACTAAAACTAAGGTTGCAGCTCCTCCTGGCGGCTAAATTACTGATTTATCTGGCTGTTCTATCCAAGATCTGGTGGTAGTAATGCTCTCCTAAGTTTATATTTGATCATGACCAAACTTCATAAAATGTATTTTCAGAAACTAAAAGTCGTTTGTTCGGAAATAAGAATCATGCTGATCACTAAGTCGGTGCAACTTTTAGAAGATAATAGGACGGAAACTAACGACAACCACTGGATTAAATGCCTTAATGTTTCGTTTTGTTTCATCTTATAGTTAATGTGTTTCCCTCAATTTTGGTTTGTGACCCGGATTTGTTTCAGTTAAATCGATTTATGACTATTGAAAAGAGGTATACTACTATTGCCTTTATTTAGATCTTAAACAGGGACAGACACAAAAGAAATATTTCTGAAATGAAAATAAGAAGTTAAGTATATTTGGTGCGTCCTGAGCCTTCTTGATTTCTGGATTACCTTCATCAGGATCGCTCAACCTCCTTCCACTCCAACTCTATTCAAATAAATAAAGCATGTTTACCCAGATTAAAATATAAATCATTACGCCTTCAAAGGATTTTGTTTAGAATCAGCATAAACAGTCATGTTAATTTGATATGTTGATTATGAATGTCGATATTCTGTCGCAAACGAGATGTTAAAGATACTAAAAGGATATTCAAACTTATAAGTCGAAACCAAACTGACAATGTTATGGCAAAAAACAAAAAAAAAACGACGAAAAGACAAACAAAAGTGCACAAAACACAACTGCCACCTGCCGTGTTGCTCATGTAAGTACAAACCCGGTGATAAATCTAATTCGGTAGGTCACTTTCGTAGAAAAGATGACGGGATTGTGGTTATGACAATTGGAACATATCCGTCGTTATCTGTTGCACAGATATTCCATAATAGTCAACCAACTCATGATGGTGTCCGTACAATTTCTAAAGGGATGATTTCAATATCACAACTTGAAACTCTTGGTTCAATAGCTTCCTTGTAAGCAGTAACCCTCTATCAAGGAAATCATGATAGGAAATGCAACCTCTGGAATATCGTATCAAATGAGAGATATATACTCGATATGCAGGAGTTGCTGGAATGTTGCTACATAGAAATGGGTGTTTCACAACTTGGAAGCTGAAAACATCTCTTTTGTCGTTAAGTTTTTTTCTCAACTGATCCCATTGTCAATTTCCAGATGTAAGTGAAGATATGAGGCAGACCGAACTGTATCTGTTGTATCCTTTATCGCAAGTTCGATGGAATAGATGCCTTCAACATAGTCACCAAAATTTGAATTATTTAGTAAATTTAGTCTTACGTATATCTTGTATTCATTGCAATAAACAAGGCACAAACAAGTTTTACTTTTTATTAAGTTTTCATATAAAATGCCATTTTCAACTCAAATGTAACAAATAAATATCATATATATTATAAATAAGTACAATATAAAATTCCTAGTATCATTAATCTCATTGTCAACATGTACAGGTGCATTTCACAGGATAATGCATTCACGTGGACTTCTCAATGTTGAATATTTTTTACTTTTATAATTTAACTGAAACTTTATATCGGGATAAACAATAACATATCAGCCAGTTGGAAAATAGTAGGTATTGATATAGATATATTTTGGTCTTTTCGAAAATGTTGTTTGTGCTGTATTTAGACCCCTCTAACAAGAAATTTGTTTTGCATGCACACGTATAAAAGTTGCGGTTTTTATCCAACGCAATCATAGGTTTGAACGTTGTTTTCAATTTAGACTTGGATAGATATATATATATATCTGGATATTCAACATATTTTCTCCTTCATTTTGTAATGGATTCTAACAACACAGTATGTTCACTTCAACGATATTGATTTGAAGGAATTTTTTAACCATTACACACGTTTGTAATCAACTAGGCGAAGTACATGTATTATGTCATATTAAAAACTTTTTAAATGTAATATTTTTGAGAGATTATTCAACAGTATGTTGTAAATCTAAATCAGTACAATTAAGACGATCTGTTGTAAAGTTACTTATTCTGATATTCTTGGAAACAGTTAATAGTACTTAAAACAGACTGTAATAGAACTCGCACGCTCAGTTCAGTACAACTCTATATATATCTCTCCCATGTTGCACTATAGCAGACTCACACAGATACACACTCATGTGAACAACACATACATTCACTCAACACATACATTCAAACCCACAATATTGTCATCAAGTTTAACTTAATAATATATTTTATCAACTGTTTTACAAATTACAGGCGTACACAAAATATTTCCACACAACAGAAATGAAAAACTCAATATTCATTATGCTTTTCAAAACTATACTATAGGATTTCTCAATGATTATATCATGTAACAATTAATAGTAATATGTGAAATTAGTAGAGGTTCTGTCCGTCATTCTTTTCACTACACAGTCCTGACACGTAAGCACACGTACATTAAATCAATTCATTTGTATAAAAGGCTACGTTTTTCTGTTAAAACAACAACGTCATTGTTTCTTTGCTTTGTGTGCCATAATAAATATAGTGATATAATAAAAAGGTATCATAACTATGAATAGTTAGACGCACATTTATGGACACTCTGTCAAAAAGTATAGGCTGTATCCGAAAATGGTCAAGGAAATTCGAAATGAATCATTGTCTTATTACATATTCTATAAAAAATTTTCATCTTGAACTTTTTAGATTTCATGTCTATATTTCCTTCATGCAAAATCTAAAGGACTATGTGTAATTGTATTGTTCGTATCCGAAAATGAAAATAACGTTACGTCATTGGTTGAATTTCTATTGTTAAGGACGTTTTAACCAATCAAAACGTTTTGGTGTACGCTTGTGAAATTATTAACCCAAATGATTAAGGTTCAGAAACGGCTAATTTCAGAAGACTTAGGGGTTTTACTACACAACTGTTTTGTATATCGCAAAATCTGCATCATTAGCTGTATATTGACTGGTAAAAAATATAATTGTCAAATAATTAGATATCATTTGGAAGTCAGATAATTATAACCATCTCGTTAGTTAACTAATTGAGTGTTAGTAAATTCATGATAAATTCATTCGTTTAATACTACTTGTAAGGCTTATTTTGAACCTCCGTTACCATAGAAACTATTTGTTAATTAAATTCATTCAGATTTAAGACAAAATCAGTTATTATTCTATTAAAAATGGAAGTATGCAAACATGCACTGTGTCCCTGTTGTTAAACAAAATCGAAAGTTAAAATAAACATTGGTTATCTTTAAGATTATTCATAAAAAATCTGTCCATGGATAATATTTGTTGCATTATATTTAAAAAAAACATCTTTGTCATACAAATGAATAAATAAATTACTAGTCTACTTGAACTCATATGTAACAATAATCTTCTAAAGTTAATTCTTGACAATCAAAATGATTGCTGTCCAAGAACTTAAATGAAGTTTCAGACTACTTAACCTCTTATCATGTTTGTTTGATAAGTGTTGTCATTTTAATGTTATATTTAACATTGCCATAAAAGCGAGAGGTTTGGCATGCCACAAAACCAGGTTCAACCCACCATTTTTTTCTTAAAATGTCCTGTACCAAGTCAGGAAAATGGCCATTGTTACATTATAGTTCGTTTCTGTGTGTGTTACATTTTAATGTTGTGTTTTTGTTGTGTCGTTGTTCTCCTCTTATATTTGATGCGTTTCCCCCAGTTTTAGTTTGTAACCCGGATTTGTTTTTATCTCTATCGATTTATGAGTTTCGAACAGCGGTATACTACTGTTGCCTTTATTTTTCATAAAACATACAGTGTAGCTCATGCAACCAATTCGAGTTGAATGTGAGTTGCAAAATTGGTTAAGAAGGACATACACCTATACAATTTTAAGAACTCTAGAACATAGTCCACTTCATAATAACGGTCAATCACATTTACGATTCGAAGTATTTAGAACATAGTCCACGTCACAATAACATTTAACGTAAAATGTTCATATATAATCGAACAATTTACAGCAATGTAAAAATCAACAACAGAAGAAGGACATTGTCTACAACTGAGTATTCGTCATAAAAATTAGCATACCACATCACGTGAGTCTCTCCGGTCTACGTCTTGGCGATGTTTGTCGTCTGCTTGGCAACAGTTGATGCACTTAATCACTAAAGTGATCTGTCATGGCAAGAGTGTTTGCATAATTGTCATATATTATAGCAAAATCAGTTCACGCAGAGCAAGTATTTGATCTCACATTCGGTCGAACACGATCCTCTAACTGTACGAAAACGCCATCCTTCGGACAAAGCATTGGCCTCAAGGCTGTTGGAAGAGGATCCTACAAATAGAAACAAAAACTGTTGTTCATGTTGTCATAGATACATTTTTAATTCATGATAACTCATATAATTTTAATCAAATAGAGACATGACTAATTAAAACAATATCTTCATACTATTTGTGGCAAATTTTAACAATATTTTACATAGAATTCTTTACTCAGAAACAAATTGGTTTTAAATTCTGCAAATGTATGTCAAAACCAATTTAGCGTGACAGAAGTAAACTTACGATTGTCCGGGAACATGGCTTTATCACAAATCTCTGTAAAAGTTTCACCATTGCAACTTTGACTTGGAGGTCAGCGAACTTGAGACCAGGACACATGCGTGGACCTTGTCCATATGGCAGATAAGAAAATGCATGACGCTTTTGTACTTCTTCAGGAGAAAATCTGAAACAATGAATAAAAGTACTTAAAAGATGTTATTCTTAATTTCACAAACATATATTAATATTTTTGGCATCTTCTTTTAAAATATTAGAGTAAATTGCAAACTGAAAGGTACCTGGAAATGTTATTCGTTAAGATTACGTGTCTGTGTCGTGCATGCTGACATTGATTAATACTTAGAGATTAAAGGAGGTGAGAAATAATCGTGAATGAAACAACAGTCTCACGAAACCCATCAAACCAAAACAAAAATTGTCTTCTACAAATACAAATGCCTATTGATACAATATTTCAGCCTCGAATTTGCCACGAGTGTACAATAGTTGAGAATAGATTAAACAAATTAAGGCAAAGATCTACTAGCAATGATACTTTGCATTAAAACAGCAATAAGACTTCGTTTCAATAATGTGGACACCGATTACAAATACTACGATAAGTTCAGATTTTGACCTATATATTCCATTCATATTTAAGTGTGAACATGTCACGACAGAGTAATGGATCGTGACAGGTTAAACTGATTAACATTTCTTATAAAGTACCTTATAAACCGGCCACTGACACAGAATTAAAAGTTCTCACAACAGTTCCTTGTACACCGGTTATTGAAACCAAGTGTTCTTATTACATATGTTTATATACATATATCGCATTAATGATTGGTTGATTGATTGATTGATTGTTGATGGCTTTACGCCGCATTAGCGCAAAAATGCTATACCACGGCGATTGCGTTAATGTTACAATTTCAATTATTTGAAGCTTTCCAAAAATTTTCTGATTTTTTCATCAGCTTTGTTTACATGCGTGTACATTTATAACAGCGACCTTTTACAAAAACTTTTATTTCGATCATAAAAGTGCATTGATTTGTTTGGAGTTCAGACCTATAAATATAGTAAGGATTAATTTGGTCTTTAGATTATACGTACCTTTCAGGAATAAATTTCTCTGGCTGTGGGTATATTTTTTCATCTGAATATAAAGTACACGTCATTACTCGTACAACAACGTCTTTTTTAAACTCTACTCCATTTATATTGCAATCTTCAGTTACTCTCCGCGTCACTCTGAAATTTAGAAGATATTAATGAACACGTGTAAATACATATAGTGTATAATATAGAATAAGAGATATGCCAAATATTTTTTATCAAACCTGCGTCGTTGGTTGATCTCCCCTATAATGTTTTTTGGGGTTTTTTTTGTAGAAAACGCAAGGTCGTTGGTAATTTCTATTGAATTGCGAAATATTTTGTCATCCCAGGGGGGGGATATCTTATTACTTAGTATACGGTATCTTATCATACAGTATTGGTTTTGTTTTTCATAGTTGAAGGCCGGTTGTTCACATCATCGTCTGTTTGTCTTTCGTGGATAGTTGGAAATTGGCAATCACAATAAACATACAGCATCTTCTTATTGTATATTTGTTGTTTTGAAAGTCCAATTTGAAAGGATAAAAAAGAATTCACAAAAAAACACCAAAAAAATATAACACATTATATATGTAGGTTACCTTTTTATATGTTACTCCTCTTTAAATTTCAACATAAAATACATGTACTTCCAATTAATTTTGCACATTTTGAAGTTAGAAATTGCAACATGTCTACTTACCCAGGAGCACACGGCAGTAGTCGTAATGTTTCGTGTAAAATCATTTGTAAATATTCCATTTTTTGTATGTCATCAAACGTTGGCGATTTCTGAAATGAAGGAGTACGAGAATTTAACATTAATGTCACTTTTTTTTTAAAATTTAGAATTAAGAGTTCCACATTATTTCACTAAACACAATTTGTCAGGATATTCAAATGCAAATTGATTCTCAAGTTATACTAGCTGGTGAGAAAATTTTTAAGTAAAATTAAATTTATAAAGGAAAGAGCAATAATTAACCAATAAAACTTAACATTCAATTATAATAATAGTTTAATTAAAAAAAATCCGAAACTAACCTCATATCCACAAATTTTGATAATTTCTTGAAAAGCTTTTTGTTGAGCATTTGGATTCATTGCAAGCATATGGATTACAAAAGACAAGCATGCATTCAGCGTTCCTAATCCTCCTCCAATCAGAGAGTTTATATGTCCAATTATCTCTTCATCTTTTAATTGGCGTCGTCGGTATATTCCATATTCGTCCCGATCAAAAAATGAACAATTTATCATTTGTCCTAAGAAATTCTTTTGCTCGTCGCTGGATGATTGTGAGTACTCTTGTCTTTTCCTAACGACATGTTCACGTATTTGTTTCATGTTTTCTTCATGGATTTGTTTGTGTTTCCTGTCGAAAAGCTGAAGAAATGGTGTAAGTCCAGGATAGACACCTGCAAAAAATATATTTATTTATCAAACATTTGCTTAATTGCAATTATCAAATGAGGATTCATTTTTTGGTGCATTTTTGTTAGTAATACGTTCTTTCGCTTCGGGAACTGATGGACGTAATGATATACTAGGCATTGTGTGGTCTTTAATTGTACAACAAATTAACACTGTAAAACATATGTGTGGTCTATTAGCAGTAAATCATAATTGATTATAAGTTGACATTTATATCATTTTTGACATAATATCTTCATCTTAAGAAAAACACTCTTGTCTAATTAATTACTTTAAAAGCTTTAGGAGACATAGCTACTATTTTTGTAAATTTTTTAAATTTTAAAGTACACATTATACAGCTGGATCGCATGTAACCCTTTTTTATATGTGTTATTGTTTCTGTATGTTGCTTATTAATCAAATTTAAACAAAAAGAATAGAAAGTATCGTTTTTACCATCATCTTTACCGTCTTCCGAAAAAGTAAAGAAAAAGAAACGAAACTTATTTAAACGTCAAAGTGATATTCAAACCTCAGAAGTCAAAGAGAGACCAACAAAACCATGGCCAAAAAAGATATAAACGACGGAAAAACTAGATTACAAAACACTACATAAAAAACTTATGATTGAGCAATAGAATGTCACCAAAACTGGTGTGTAGTCAGGTGCTCTGGAAGGGTAGGCAAAGTAAAATACTCACGTGCAAGACCAGCAACAGGATTGTCAGCAGCAGCTGATTGGTTGAACTGCTTCATAAAACGATACAATAGTGCATCTTCGTTGTCTAAGCTGTCAGCTTTAAAATCAAATCCGGAGTCGGCAAACGCATCCAGTGTATATCTGTCTATCAAACTGAAAATGGAGTAAAAAAAAAGATACTCAAAATCATATTCTCAAATTAACATATATTAAATTGAAACAACACTACATTTTTTTGACATATTATCAAATCATATTCTGAAATTAAAGAGCACACATTAAACTGAATTGACACTACATTTTTTTGACACTATCCTCATTTTCATCTAGAGTTATATTCTTTGCACGAAAATCGTGTATTAAAACAGAAAAAAAAATACTTTGTTTATTGTTATGTGAAAAACTACATATTACGTGTTATATGACTATCATTAAAGTACGAATCTTATCATGTTTTATTAATGTTAAATTTAGTAAAGTAAGACTTGTTAATACGGCCTTTACCGCCTTGATATCATCACAATTACGGCGTCATAATGTGATGTGTACGTCATAATGCATAGTAAATGACAGTTGTTTGAAGACTAAACATAATTCACATCTGACTTTTAACGGTGATATTAATATCTAGTGTTAGACATAAGTCACAGATGGGCGATCAAGATTGTAATCAACATCATCAAGGTATTTAGATTTTATTATGCGTAGATGATTATTTGATAGTTGTAATTTTACTTACTCAGTGACGTCAAAACCGTCAGGGTTACTTTTATTTTGTTCATTAACCTTTCTGCAAAACTTATCTCCGGTTGCATTTACTCTGTTGGACATCTGAAATGAATCCATATCACAATCAAGCTTCTGCTAATAGCAATATAAAGTAATTTTAACAAGTACAATTGCATCACTACATTGCGGTTAAACTTTACCATTGAAAATATATTAGAATTGGTTTGAGATTATCATAACTAGATTGTAATTGATTAATTTGCTCAATAAATCTGATTAATACACATGAGAATATTTTACATACAAAACAGATGACATTGTGTTATAAGGGAGCTACAATTTGATTTTTATGGGGGGGGGGGGGGGGGGGGGGGGCTAGGATGAAAAATTTGGTCCTGCATTTTTTTTTAGTTGCAATCTCTGTCCTGCCTTTTTATTTTTCACTCTATTCGGTCCTGCCTTTTTTTTAATACTTTATCCTGACTTTTTTTTACATAAATTGTCATTCTGCCTTTTTTTTTTGCCAAGTTGCTCATCCTGCCTTTTTTTTTACTCAAAACTCCTGTCCTGCCTTTTTTTCAAATTTCATCCTAGCCCCCCCCCCCCCCCCCCCCCCCCCCCCCCCATAAAAAGGTAGCTCCCTTATGTGGTATTCGAAATTGAATGTGCATATTTTCATTTTTCAAATTACATAAACTTTTAACTTCCACAGATGTAGTAGTTCGATGAACTCGAATAATTCAGTCCCCTCCCCGTAATCGATCTCTCCACCTAGCGAAATATAACGACTGCATTATGTGGGTTATAGTTTGGGTAAACACGTGAATGACTTACATGTTTCATAGATACAGAGTTAAAGGCAGCGGCTACAATGGATCTCTGTCGCTTCCATTCGTTACCATATGTATTGAGAAGACTGCTTTCATCTGGACTATACACAAAGGGATTGCACAACTGAAATACACAAAAAATAGGTTGAAAAGAAATAAACAGTAAACAGAAAGAGAAATTAAAAGAGCTTCTTAAAAAATTAAAAATGTATTATCATATGACTGCTATTGTATTTACAGTTATTATCTGGAATTCTCTTTATATCAAAACCACTTTATATGTTATTTATTCGTTTATCAATGTTTATAAGTCACCCTTTTTAAACGAACATCTTGTATAAATTGTATTTTGATATACACATTGTAATATACTTACTGGTCGAATGTGAAATTTGTCGAAGTGTTTCACTAAAATTTGCTTTGCCATCTCTGGACAGTTAACAACTAAACTGGGGCTAAATCCTTCGAAAAATCTGAAAAAAAGGAACAAAATGTAAGTATACCTTAACACAAACGGTAATAAAATACTAAACCTTTTAAGGGCTATCAGGGGGCGGATACAATAGGATCGGAGTCCTCGATAGCCATTCAAGTATACCTTAACACAAACGGTAATAAAAATACCAAACCTTTTACGTAAGGGCTATCAAGGGGCGGATACAATAAGATCGGAGACCTCGATAGCAATTCAAAACAATTGTCTTTGCTATCTTGTGCCGATTTCTGTCTGTCGTTCGAATTGCTATTGCAATACAATGAATTTTACAATCATGTACAGAAGATCTGTGTTACCAGTTGCATATGTAGTATCAATAGCCGGTATTAGAGTGTATATATGCATCCGCCTTGTTTTGATTATAAATAACTTTTACTGCTTTAAAAAAAATACTCACCATAAAATATATGAATTTTAATTTTAAAGTGATATTTGATGTAATGTGCTGATAAATATGCACATGACTGTCGTGGCTCTCCCTTTATGCACTTAATCACTATAATGTGCTTGTTACATGTACGGTTTTCCTAAAAGAAATTTTTATTATTGTGGAAATGATATTTACCCGTAGATATCTCCATAAACTTTCCTCCATTCTTTGAAGACGTCCAATGGATTCTACAAAGAAATAGAAATATGATAAACTACAAAAAGTAAGCGTCTTCTATTTCTGGATTCCGAAAAATTGGTTTTAGAGTTTCAAGTCCCTTCATTCTTTTTTTTTTTTTCATTTCCTCAAAATAAATAAAAATTAGGCTGGAACCTCCAAACTTTCCGAGTGGGGACCGTATTGTTTTAAATAATAAAATATATAATAAAGATTAATGAAATATGATGTAAAATCATTAAGAAATTATTTTTATAAAGACTTGTTTAAGTATTTGCCATAGAGAGAGAATAAAGCTTTCATAGTGCCTTTCCAAGGGAACGACGACGCTAAAAGTCTGGGAACCAAAAGTCTGGGAACCAGACTTGATTGAATACATAAGGAGTTAGAAAGTAAAAATTGGGCGTAACATTTTTGTGATTGTTACCTTGTCTTTAAACTCTCCTATGCTCCCAAATACCATCATTGGCTTGGGACCTGGTATCTTTAACTTTTCAAAGAGTTTATAGTCGTCTTTCACTTTTCTAAAATAAGTAAGAAAAACAACTGTAAGAAAAACCTTACGTATTGCAGCATATAAACTTATCTGTCAAATACACTGCGATTAAAAATACAATTGAACTTTTATAGTCTTAATACCGTTGTACATCTAATCATAAACCGTTGAACTTCTATTCTTAATTCGGTTGTACTTTTGTCATTTGTTTCAATGAAAGGATTGAACCGATTTGGGCTTATTGCATGTCGGCATTTCGGTTTTTTTTTTTTATCTTTTAAAAGGACAAAAGACTTTCAATGACGTTGTGTGTACTTTCTGGTTGCATCAAAGATACAAATACCAACTTTCGGCTGTTGTCTGCTCTATGGTCGGGTTGTTGTCTCTTTGACACATTCCCCATTTTCGTTCTCAATTTTATTTTCCCTTTTTAAAAAAAATCTAATTCATATTCATAATTAAAAAACGCCGAGTGCCAATTGTATCGATATGCTAACAAAAGAAACTTATGAGAATAAAAGAAGTACGTTAAGAATTGCCAAAGCGGCTTCGTACAAGTTTTCTAATATTTATAAAAATATGTCTGCTTTGAATTATAAATTATTTATTTAAAAAATACTTACAGAAACCAGACTACTGCTAAAACTACTAACACAAGTGCTACCAGTGGATTTATGGTAAATGTCAATGGAAAAATAATAAGCGCCATTTTCTTTTAGTCTTTACTTAAAAATATCGTCTACAGCGTCGGCTGTTTCGTTTGTTTCCACCGACTGGTGTCGTTGTTTTCACCGACAGGTGTCGTCTGTAAGAGATATATAAACATGATAAATGTTTAAAGTAATTAACAAATAATTTAACAATACAAAAAATAATAACTCATTAAACTAAATTATTTGTCTATTGATTATACAGTAGTATGCTTGTCTTAAACTCATTTTTTTACAACTTAATCAGTTTAAAACCGTACTCATATTTGAAATAAAAATCAATACCCATTTCCTTTATCTCAAAGGCTCTTTACTCGAAATGTATTACATTATTTCACAAAGAACACCATCACAAAAACATAGCGTGTCAACGGTCTCATTGTCAATCACACCACATCCTTTTTTTATATTTATTCTGTATTTTAGTGGTACTATTAGAAAGCAAATGTAAGTATTACAAAATCATATTTGATCATTTAGAAATAATAGTCTGTAAGTTGTAGGTGTACAATATTGAGTACAGTAATATTTCTAATGTATCATAATGGAAATGCACTACCTGATCAACACATATAATCTTTATTATTATAAATTCTTTCAATCAAAGCTTTAACCATTTAAACCTAGAAGTAGTTATGACGAGTCATTTAAAATAGTATATTTTGAATTTTAAACTGTAAATTGCTTATCCTTTTTCACCTACTTTTAAAGGTTATATTTATTTAAAATGTGGGAGGTGACTCTTTGCTTGCTTTCGATCTTAAGTACGAATGTATTAAACAAATATGTAAATAATACAAGAATTGGATTAAAGAATTTTTACAATGAGATTGATCAATGATTATATACAAAAGTACATAAACACTTCTTTCTGATGGGCGGTATCGTAAATGGTCGTACTTTCGCATTTATATAATAAAACCGAGGTCTACAATTTGAATCATCCATTGTTGTTATGGTAGGTTGTATGAGTAGCATAATCCGGTCATAGTTTGACGAAGTGTTATCGTTTTCGGACTATTCAAAAGTATGATATAGCAAATTTGCAGATCAAACTTTGTTGGGCTAATTTTTAGACGATGTATATAAATAGTTCGTATACGTTATTGATTGTGCACTTGATGCATATAAGTTCTGTTTCTAAGTGTATATACATGTATATGTAGAATAAACATGTTTACTTAAATAGCAATTCTAATATGACTCTTTTCTTTTGCAAAATCAATTTATAAGTATAACAAAATATTGGTAACAAGCGAGTGACGTCACAATAAAACCTAAAAATTATACCCAGTATTGAACTGCTGACAAATTGTTTGTCTTGAAAATTGTGCAGCAAAAAGCTTAACATCGTTTCCATAATTCTATCGCTTTTCATTTTTGAAGTCTTTTTTATGATACGATAACTGAATTGCGAACTTTCAGAATCACCGAAGCTTATAACATCTGCCCTAATCAAAAATACCAGCCTACTTTTCAAATTTAAAACGAAATCAACTTAAGCGACATGCTTATGCAAAGATGCACCTATATATCACAACTTAATGGCAATAACGTCGTAACAATATACCTTAATAGCACATTAAAGTTTTATAATAAGCAATTAACAGCTTGTATTTGAATTAATCATAAGAAAAAAAACTATTTCTGTGTTTACAACATAGCCTGAAAAGTACACTGTACTCGATAAAAGTACAAGGCAGTAAATCGGACTTATTGACGCTTGCGGGTGTGGTTGAAACCAAACCGTTGTTTTAAAATCTGTCTATTTAGTATCTGGTACCTCAAAGCCGAACCTTTCTTTTAAGTCAACAAACCATAAACAATGATGACTGATACAATCTTTCAGGAGTTATAATAAGAAGTATAATTATTTATTTTTAAAAGGTTCTCTATTCTGTATTAAATTTTCAAAATGATATCAGTATTAAATAAATTAAAATAAATTCATAATCAATTTAAATTAACTTAGCAATATGTCATGGTGTATTGATATGAAGGTGATACGAGATGATATCTAAAGTTAAATCATTGTTGATGTTTTAATAATTGACTGCACTATATATGAACGGTATCATATGAGTTACGAATTTGTGTCTTTGGTCCACTTCTTGTAAATAGTATCAATTAATAAGCTGTGGTGTAGTATTGTTATACTGTGCGATATAATTGATAAACTCACTGTTGTAATGCAGAAAACATGAACCATGTAACGAGACGCATACACTGATAAAGTTGATTTTTAACTGCGATTTAACACTTTATCGACTTTCTGAAAGGTGAGTTCTAAGGGCTAGTATTCATTTCTTTTACGGAGGAATTTAATAAAACATTTAAAAAATTGATTTAGACTTTTGAGTTTGTCAAGAAACACAGCGGAGGTCTTGTAGAATCAACAGAATATCTATATATTTAGTTATCTGCCGAAAATAAATGTGAAGTGACTTTCTGTAAATAAAAAAAAACGACAAAGATAACATGCTAAACAAACAGATGTATCTAAAAATACTTTTCTATCTGTTAAAATTGAGAATGGAAATGGTGAATATGTCAAAGAGACAACAACCCGACAAAGAGCAGATAACAGCCCGAAGGCCACCAATGGGTCTTCAACGCAGCGAGAAAATCCCGCACCCGGAGGTGGTCCTCAGCTGGCCCCTAAATAAAATTGTGTACTGGTTCAGTGAAAATGGACGTCACACTAAACTCCAAAACATATAAAGGAACTAAAATTTAAAAAAACATTCAAGACTAACAAAGGTAAGAGGCTCCTGACTTGGGACAGGCGCAAATACGGCGGGGTTAAACATGTTTTGTGAGATCTCAACCCTCCCCCTATACCTCTAGCCAATATAGAATAAAGAAACTCATAGCAATACGCACAGTAAAACTCAGTTTAAAAAGAAGTCCGAGTCAGATGTCAGAAAAGGTAACAAAAGAAACTAAGCAAAATGACAATGATACATAAATTAACAAAGTTGTTAACTATTTTAAAAAAATGTACTTTTATGTATGTTTGATATAAAGCAACACATTCTGTCCAATAAGTAAACAATTTCTTTGGGCGACTTATTGCATAAAGGTCAGACGCAAGGTTGATAAAGTCAGCTGACCTCTCATTACGGCACACTTTTTTTATCTGATAACTATTTTATAAAAATGTACTTTTATGTATGTTTGATTAACGCAACACATTCTCTTCGATAAGTAAACATAATTTATTCGAACGACTTAGTGCATAAAGGTCAGACGAAAGGTTGATAAAGTCATATAACCTCTCATTACGGGACACTTTTTTATCTGGTAATTATCTTTTAAAAATGTATTCTTAGGAATAGTTGGTTCTATTCGATTAAGTTAACATAATTTGTTCGGACGACTAAGTGCACAAAGGTCAGACACACGGTTGATAAAGTCATCTGACCTCGTCATATGACCTCTCATTACGGGACACCAAACTTCCTGACTGGTTAACTTGGTAAAGGTTTTATCTGTGTTATGTCTAGCCCTGTATTAATTTGATAATACGTTACACAGATTGTTGTAAATATGAGCACTTTACGTTACACAGATTGTCGTAAATATGAGCACTTTACAATTTATACTGGACTATATTGTATACAGGCAATATTTGGTCATCCATATCTTACAAAACAAACCCGAGAATTCAGAAGTACATTTGTACCTGTTTTTGTTTTTTCGTGAGAACGATAGGCGAAATAATTTACATTAAGAACATTGTATCGAATATGAACAAAGAAAGATATGGGCTATTAGTCAATAAGACAGCAACAATGTGCAATAAAAGAAAAATATGCATTTATGTTGCATTCGGCAAAACTTAGTTAAAATAAGCACTTGTATGAAAAATTTAATTGAATTGCATTTTAGTACAAATGTCCGTTAAATAACGTTGTTACCGGGTTTACACTGGCATATAGATTTACTCTTTAAACATGATAAAACTTTAAATATATGTCACTCATTTAACTGATTTCAGGACAAAATATAAACTAGCACAGACTGTATTACAACATTGTAACAAATTCATGAATGGCAAATATTACAACAATCCCGTTTAAGTGCAGAATATATTATAATTTTTTTGTATAAATTTGCATGCTAAATGGTATTGATATTTTTTAAATAAAATTAATTTCAAACTTATGTTAATGTAACCATAAATGGTTCACCACATACAAAAATAAATATATCATTAACTTTTATAAATTACAGGGAGTGTATATTATAACTTGAAGGAAAGCTCTCTATATGTGGTTAATACTGCTCCTCGGTGTGTAATGAGTGTTAGGTGCACCATACCATTCATGAAACCGTGGGAAATCAGCAACGGAATATATTTACAAGCGGTCAATATTGAGTAAATTAAATTACGAATTATAAAATCATAAAACTCGAGTATAAAATATACTTTTATCAGCCCTGCTGTATATGTAACATTATGTTTACATGATTGAAAATATGGCGTCAACATAAACGTACATTTATGTTTTCAAATGTTATTTGTTTTTGAAACAAATTGTCCGACAATATAATTTCTGGAGACAACGGAATTGGATTTTTGCGAGTTTCTTGTGAAAAGAATGCATTCTATTGACAAAAGACACATCTAACCAGCGACAGTTACGCCGCTTTTTATTAATGTACTTTATTGTGGTATTGATCCAAACATTGAATGAAATCAAGTTGAGTAGTTAATAGAAAGTTGACATCTTTTCTTAAGCTTCAGATTAACTTGAAGGTTACAGTATAGAAATTCACTCATCTGAAGGGACTTTTTCTTTTACAGATTACTGAGCGATGTATCTATTTGCATTACTATCATAATAGAAATTAATGCTGCGCACTTGAGGGTCTGGATGGGGGTCCTTCATTTCTGTATTCTTTTTAGGCCATTGTTTTCTATTCTCTATTCATTATATTTTAGCACCTCATTATTTATATTCTTTTTTTTCTTTGGTGCATTTTTCTCTATTCTTTATATTTTTTGCCAATTATTCTCTATTCTGTAAACCCCCGTCCAAACCCTCGCACATATATAGCTGTTGTCTTGTAAATTACATAAAAGAATTTGTCCTTGAAACGATAGATCAACAACAGTACTACATGTTGGTCATATATTTCTTGAACCATAACTACGATCATTCTGGTGCACGTATACGCGAGTAAATACAAAATATAAAATTGAGAAAATGAAAAATAGGACGAAAAATGAAATAAAAATGTATTTCTGGAGAGTGATATGTTCCCCTAAAATGTTGTTGACCAAAATATGTAGTTCCTAGAAATAAGTTAATTGTTTATATAGTCCCTGATAAAGTGGTTAGGGCTATCTTAATTTTGTGACTTTTGCATTAACTTTTAATTCCTTGTTTTCTGCAAAAATTCCCAGTTTTAAATCAATTCTCTTACAACCCACTCATCTTCAAGAGTTCGTTTGACCTTTATAATGACTGATAAGTTAAGTCATACAAATGTGTAAGAAGGGTGTAAATTAGAATATATTTTAACGCGCACAGTAAACTCATCATATATACCAGGATAAAAATGTTGTGCGCGAGACGCGCGTTTCGTCAGTAAAGGACTCGTCAGTAACGTTCGAATAAAAAAGTCCAAATACGGTTTTGTGAATGTAGATTACTTTCAGTTTCAAAACACTTTTCTTCAGACACGAATTGAGGAAAAGCAAATAGGTGGATTGATTAGATGTTGCTTGCTTAACATCCAGTGGCAAATATTTCTAGTATATTCAAGACAAAAAAAAGACATGTATATTTTATTTGTTTGGTACAAAATGTAAAATAGATTTGATTTCTTATTAAATTGTGATATAAATCAATGAATGAAACATAAAAATATAAAGATAACGGCAACAGATTCTGGGATTGTGTGTAAGTAACATATTGAATGAACACAGAGGTTAGTAAGACGCGGGATAGTAAGTACATTGTATACTTCAATGAGTCAAACAAATAAAACAAAACAAAAAAAGTACATTTGCGACTGAGTAATTGGGTAATATTACCATACAAAACCAGTAAAAAAGATGTGTCAGAATTTGACCTTGTGAATAAAAAATATAAAAATATTCGTTTTGTGTTTCACCAGTTGTGTGGGGTTAAGTGCCACCCCCGGTCAATTCCACTTTTGTTTTAATTTTAAGCCAATCTATGTACATGGAAATATACGAACAAGACAAATTAAAAAAAAAATCAACACGAAACATGTATAGGCAGGAAAGGCGTACATAAATGCTTACAAATCAAGTTTTTAGCAATAGGGACTCGTATCAAAAAGCCAGACTTCAACTATACATGTACATATTTTTTTTTGCTGCAAAATGAGAGCTATTGATGCCTGACGTCTTGAAATGTAAGCATATTGAAATCAAAAATGCAAAAAAAAAGTCCAATTGCTATAAACGATTTTTTTTAAAATATTTTCACATAAGGCTGACTGTAAAGATTTCCAATTTAAGCATTCCTACACCAAAGGCCATTATTCAAGATTTATGCCAATCTTGACGTTTCGTGCTATGTATTATCACAATGCAAGATTTATAATTATGTTTTTTCACTTGTTAATGTTGATGTCTCATATTATCCTGAATATGTTTGAAATATTTTCCACTGAACGTTAATAATACTATAGTCAATCAATCAATCATTGATAAGCAGTATAGTATAGATCTCATATTATTTAGTCATCACTTAAAACCGAATTATTTGCCACTGAACGTTAACAATACTATAGTCAATCAATCAATCAATCATAAATTTGCAGTATAGTGTTGATCTTATACTATTTAGTCATTACAAAGACCGTAAGGTATTGTGTGTCATACAAACGAAGAATACAAGTATGCATTGTGCACATTGGAATATGCTGTATAGTCCTTTTCTAAAGATGCATTCTTATTCAATATTATCATTATTATTGTAAATGCTTTGATTTCTTTTCTTTTTTTTTACTATACCATACAATGTTGGCTCGTTTTTTAACTTTCAAATCATTTCCGAAATTTTAATATTCTGCTTAAAACTAAACAGTTCCACATACTATGACAAATTTGTACTTGTGACCGTAAATACAAAAAAAGCAATATATCATCTAAACGTTTCAGATGTTTTACTAATTTTTCAGTGCATAAATATAGATAACACCAAAATTAAATAAATAGATACATAAATATTATAGTAAAAAGTGTAATTCAAATATTCTTACCTGAAGCGCTAAAACAGTTAAATGTAAAACAGATTTATATATCCGATTGAAAGAATATTGCTTTTTGTAAGTTTATATCCAAAGCTTCTTCCTTTAAATGCTCAGTTGTAGGTGGGGCGTGGCTAAAAATATAGCTCCACCTTTAATTAATATATGTTCCATCCTAATGGTTCTATTGTCAGAAATAATAAAGATTAAAAGTCTTCAGTACTTTTATGTACATGTGATAGGTGAGTTATGAATGAAATGTATGAATGGAACTTGTATCTTGTATACACACAGAGGTTAACATGGTATTGATCGAGTGTCGTCACTGTAGTTGACATCAGCTAATAACATATCGGATTTGTACTTCATTAAATAAACCGAACATATATAGTTGTTAAAGTGCATATAATACTTGCTATTTTTATGATTGAATTTTGATTGCTTATTAACGTAAAGTGGCAAATATTTCAGTGCACATTTTGTTTGCTTATTAACGTAAAGTGGCAAATATTTCAGTGCACATAATATTTATTATTCTTTACGATTGATTTTTACTTGCTAATTAACGTTAAGTGGCAAATATTTCAGTTCACATAATACTTATTATCATTTACGATTTATTTTGTATTGCTTATCAACGTCGAGTGGCAAATATTTCAGTTCACATAATACTAACTATTATATACGATTGATTTTTGCTTGGTTTTTAACGTCAAGCGGCAAATATTTCAGTGCACATAATACTTATTAATTTTTACGATTGATTTTTGCTTGCTTATCAATGTCAAATCACAAATATTTCAGTGCACACGATACTTTTTATTATGAACGATTGATTTTTGCTTACTTATCAATGTCAAGTGACAAATATTTCAGTGCACACGATACTTTTTATTATGAACGATTGTTTTTTGCTTACTTATCAATGTCAAGTGACAAATATTTCAGTGCACATGATACTTTTTATTATGAACGATTGATTTTTGCTTACTTATCAATGTCAAGTGACAAATATTTCAGTGCACATACTACTGAATATTATTTACGTTTGATTTTTTGCTTGCTTATTAAAACGTCTAGTGGCTAATAATTCAGTGCACAAACTTTACGATAAATTGTTGCTTGCTTATTGACACCAATGACAAATATTTCAGTGTCATAATATTATCATTTACGATTAATTTGTGCTTGCTTGCTTACGTCAAGTGGCAAACATTTCAGTGCACATAATACTTGTTATTATATACGATTGATTTTTGCTTGCTTATTTATGTCAAGTGGCAAATATTTCATTCATGTTCAGGTCGATAGCATTATTTTCTATTGATTTTTGTTTTCTTTTTTACGTAAAGTGGCGAACATTTCAGTGCACATAATACTCATTATCATTTACGATTGACTTTTGCTTGCTTATTTTTGTAAAGTGGCAATTATTTCAGTGCGCATAGTACTTAATATTATGTGCAGTTGATTTTTGCTTGCTTATTAACGTCATGTGGCAAATATTTCATTTACATTCTATACGATAATAAATTAACAATTAACACAATATGTAGGTGGTCTAAAAAAAGATAAATCGCAGATGAACCTGGATGAAGGGTGTGATATTTAGACTGGCACTGGAAAAAAGAGGGTAAATTGGAAATTGACAGAAGTGTTATTCGTAATGGAAATTATTGCATAATCTTTGCAATCGATTCATTAGAATCAAACAAAGAGATATCGAATCATTAACAGGGACTGATACATGGTTTCAGGAAAGTTGGCGACATTTGCAGTATCAGTAAAAAAATAGCTTTTATCGTAGCTAGGCATTTTCCTTTACAATTACATTGAAACTATACAAGTTAACATTCATAGTCCTTTCGGTTTTTCACACAAAGAACAGAAATAGATACTGCGCATTTTTTTTTTTTCAAATAGTTGTGGTACAATGTATTAAATAGCATAGTTGGGTTAAAGTGCTAGCTACTTTTCATTCTTCTTAAGAAGCCCTTGCATGAAGTCTGCCTAACACAAATTAAGGGAATAGGGTTACATTTGGTTCCCATAGGGGAATACCGACTGTCCATTGAAAAACATGCCCAACAAACGCAATAAATAAAAATCAGACATTTCAAAGTCACAAACATAATATTATCGTTGTGCTCGTAAAAAATAATGTTTTCAAATTTGATGTTCAACATTTGACTACAACATTACTTAACCTTTGGATATTTCAGGGGCCAATATTATATTTTAAATAAACCGTACTAAACCAGGGTGGCAAAATTCATATAGTCATGCTTTGAAACCTTGCCAATAATTATAAACCAACGTCACAAAGTTGCACAAGGGATATATACGTATTTAGAAATCATCAATGAAAACCACATAAATGCAAAATGCATCGTAGTTCAACGGCGCTTTCATGCATATTTGATATTTCTGAACCAATTTAGGAAATTTCTTGAAAAGCATTTACGTAAATACGTATAAAGTCTAAAAATTCTATATTTTATTGTAAATACAAAGGAACATATACCCATTAAGACCTGTTGTATTATTTGTATTGACGTGGGTGGATGAATTATTCACGAGCCATTTTATCGGGTTTCCGTTCAAGTAAAAGATAATTTACTGTGTTGGTATACTTGACAACCTTACATAATTGATCTTCAATTAAAACGATGCTCTTTTGTATAATAGTGGCTCTAAAGTACATCTTACATTGAAGAAATACTTTTAAGAGTATACAAAGGTGAAAGCTACCAAAGAGGAGGGCAAACAAAAACAATGTCAATCGAAAATAACCAACAATGTTATGGTAAAAAGAAGAGACCAAAATAACAGACAACGCTACACTATAAACTACAAAAACTAAAAATGACCAACACGAACCCCTCCATAACTTAGGGCGAAGTCATATGTCCCAAGATTATGTTATACATGTATGTACTGAGTGAATTGGTTGTTCTAAACTGATTTTAAGTCGATATATCCTCTACCCTTTGCTATCATGTAAGTAACGATGCAGAATATTTGAAACCCGCAGGTGTCAAATCTTAATTGTTTGTTCCTGTCCTAAGTCAGGAATCTGATGTTCAGTAGTTGTCGTTTGTTGATGTGGTTCATAAGTGTTTCTCGTTTCTTTTTATATAGATTAGACCGTTGGTTTTCCCGTTTGAATGGTTTTAAACTAGTAATATTTTGGGGCCCTTTATAGCTTGCTGTGCGGTGTGAGCCAAGGCTCCGTGTTGAAGACAGTACTTTGACCTATAATAGTTTACTTTTATAAATTGTGACTTGGATGGAGAGTTGTCTCATTGGCACACATTCCACATCTTCTTATCTCTAGGATTGCAAGTATTTCTGACTTGCTATATTTATAAGAAAATAAAAGAAGCTCTGCATCGACCAGCGTCGTAAACGGTAATGAATATATTTATCAAACAGAAATAGCAAAGCTCTGCATCGACCAGCGTCGGAAACGGTAGGAAATATATATCAAACAGAAATAGCAAAGTTCTGCATCAACCAGCGTCGGAAACGGTAGTGAATATATATCAAAGAGAAATAGCAAAGCTCTGCATTGACTTGCGTCGTAAACGGTAGTGAATATATATCAAACAGAAATAGCAAAGCTCTGCGTCGACCGGCGTCGGAAACGGTAGTGAACATAAATATATATCAAACAGAAATAGCAAAGCTCTGCGTCGACCAGCGTCGGAAACGGTAGTGAACATAAATATATATCAAACAGAAATAGCAAAGATCTGCAATCAAAACCAAATGTCTTAATGAAAAGAACACATACGATGTATACAAGCAAATAAACTTAAAACAAAACAAAATCCACACACACGCACTAACACTAGACACCTCCCAAGACAATTTATTATTCCTAAAATCATAAATCTAGCAAAATAAAAGATAACTAAAAAAAATAATAAACATTACATTAACCCCTCAATCGAAAGTATCAATAGCACTAACCTTTATTCGTATCATTGGTTTCGTTTTGTATTGAAAGACCTCAAGTTTCATATCTTTTTAAAAAAAAATATGTTATTTAGTTATATAATATTTGAATCCGGGTGTATTTAAAGCATATGTATTAAATATCAAACTATTTTTTAGCGCATAAATTAAATCTAAAATATTGTCCCATTATCCGAAATGCACCTAACGAATATCTATAATCATAATACAAGTATAATGATTATATTAAGACTTTTAAAATAAAAGTATAAAACACCTAATGTAAAAACTGTATGCTACCTTCGTCATCACTGCACTATTTCTAATCAGTATGTGGTTGGTTTAGATATCGATAAGTGTGAAAAAAGATGAAGATACGACAGGGTATTCAAAGTCGACGACAAACTGTGAAAGCCCAGGCAACAAAACAAAAAAGGACCAAAAGACAATAACATGAAGAGCACCAAGAAACCGCGCATCAGTTGTATACTTGTAGTAATCAATGAATGTAATATATGTAATTATGTATATTGTGCGTAGGATGAAAGAAAAAAACTATAAACTATCAAACGATATTTAACCCACGATTGTTATTTTTTTTTTAATTGTCTCTTTTCTACTGTATATAAATGTCTTGTAGATTCTATTCTTGTGATTCAAATCAATACACTAAATGTTATGTCTTTCAAAACAAACATAAAAATTGCAAAACAACTTATTATAAGTCCGTTTGTTAAAACATTCATGTTGTATTTTCTTTGGAGAAGTGTGCAACAGCCTGTGTTGTTAAAACATTTATGTTTCATTTAGTTTGGGTGTGTATTTTCATACCCTATTATGGTTTATGGTATTTCCCTTTCATCCTACGCAATAATACATGATTACATTAATTCATAACTATACAACTGATGCACGGTCTCTTGATGCTCTTTTTGCCTTAAAAGGATATCTCAATTTTATCCATCCCCCACAAGACTACTATAAACAAGAGCTATTGTTAAAAGCGTTTGAAACATTAGACTTAATCGAATTTTTATGTAGATGTTAAAAGGTTTTTTCCCATGCAAAATGTATGGAGAATATTTAATAGCAGTAAAATCTAAAAACCTTTTG